AGGGGACGGAGGATTCGAGTTAGCGCTGACGCGCTTGACTATAGCCCTGGTCGTGAACCTCGGGGGCCTTTGGCGGATGCTCGCGCTGAGTTCGGTCCAACCTTCGCAGCCAAGCTGTCACTGCCCCAGCCGCCGCCTCTCCAGCGAGCAGTCCCGTCTCCGTGGTCCGTGGCGCTCCCCTCTCAAGCATTGCGCGAGCGTGCCGCGGGCGGGCTCTCTGGGATGTGCAGCTTCCTGGTCACGAGTCTGTTGATCCAGCTGCCTGCGGCAGGTTCCGCCACCGTTCCAGCTCGGCATTCTGGGTGGCGGCACGGTCGAGGAGGTTTGGGAGGCCATCACAAGTGGCACCTCGTGTCTTCATGCTTGGGCGCGACGTGACGAGGGTGATGAGAGTTAGGAGGCGGTTGGGAATTATGATAACAAATGATGAGGATAAGGATGAAGACGATGATGATAATGATTATGATGATGGTGATGGTGATGACTGTGATGCTGATCTCGATGATGTTGATGATGGTGTTGCGATGGTGATGATGGTGTTGCTGATGCTGCGGATGCTGACAATGACGACGATGCCGATAATGACTATGATAATGTGAATTATGATGAGAAGAGGATGAGGATGATGGTGATGATGATGCTGATGATGATGACACTGATGATGCTCATGATGCTGCCAATAAGGATGAGTATGTGGTGGCGGTGCATATGATGATGTTCCTTATGATGATGATGCTGATGATGGGATGGTGGTGGTGTTGATGATGCTGCTGAAGATGACGATTTTGATGTATCCCCACATCCAAAGTGGGTTTTTTGTTGTCGCTGCACCCCCCCCGCGCAGGAGAACACACCCTCTCCGATCACACACACGTATCACCATCAGCATGCGTGACATCATCACCACACCATCATCAACATCATTAGCAGCATCACCATCACCATCACTCACTCACTCACTCACTCATTCACTCCCACTCACTCCTTCACTCATCATCATCACAATCATCATCGACATCACTCACACACTCACTCACACTCACATTCACTTACACACCGACCATCTTGATCACCTTGACCATCACTCGATCACCCACTCACCCACCCACCCACTCACTCATCATCTGCATCATCCTTACCATCATCATCATCATCATCACCACCATCATCACTAGTTCAGTCATACACTCACTCACTCACCCACTCATTCGCTTGCTTGAATGTGGGGGAGGTATCTGGCAGAAGCCTCGTCTGTGCGTGAATGGCGAGGAAGTCTCACGCGTGAGCCGTCTCCCTATGGGGCCCGCACCTCATGTTCTTAGTCTGAGCGGGTCCTCCTCGAACCTTTATTTGTCGTCACGTTGGGGCTCTTGCTGAGGCCTGAATATGGAGGAAGTATCAGGCGGGAGCCTCGTCTGTGAGTGAACTGTGAGGAAGTCGCAGGCGGGAAACCCCTCCCTACAGGGGCCAGCACTTCATGGTTTTAATCCGAGCGGGTCATTCTCAACCCTGTAGTTGTCGTCACTTTGGGGCTCCCGAGGCTTGAATATGGGGGATGTATCAGGCGGGGAGCCTCGTCTGTGAGTGAACTGTGAGGAAGTCGCAGGCGGGAGCCCCCCTCCATATGGGGCCCGCACTTCATGTTTTTAATCCGAGCGGGCCATCCTCAACCCTGTAATTGTCGTCACTTTGGACTCCCGAGGCTTGAAGATGGAGGAGGTATCAGGCGGGGAGCCTCGTCTGTGAGTGAACTGCGAGTTGCCCCAACGGCCTGTTCCGCGGGGTTGTCCCAACGGCCGCGCGACGCGGTCATTCGAGAATGCGCCCGCGCTGGCCGAGGCGGCGACGGCGTCGAGGAAAGTCGACGCGCGCGCTCGTGCAATAGACATGAGGGGGAAGGTGGTTGATGACGAAATAAACAGCAGGAGGGCGAGGCAAGGGCAACGCGGGGACCTGCGCCAGGGTGAGAATGATGATGACGCAGGGAAGGCAATACGGGCGCCTCACTAATCGCGAGGACGCCGCTGAGGGTTATTGCCAGATTAGCCGACCGGATTTCCATGTGGGGTCTTTCCGCCCGAATAAGTATGATGACGATGTGGATGCTGATGGTATTGAGGATGCTGAGGATGAGGCTGATGATGTTGATGGTTGTGTTCATGGTGATGATGCTGATGTTGATGCTGCTGGTGATGCTGGTGATGATGATGGTCAGGCCGAAGACGTTCGCAATGCGGCCAGGGACGACCATGGTGCCGACGCCACTTGGGAGGGTGTTTATGTCGATGGTGCTGTTGTTGCCGCTGGTGGTAACAATGGGGGGGGACGGGGCGGGTGAGGATGACGATGGTGGTGATGACGATGATGATGATGTGTTTGACGATGAGGGTGGTGCTAATGGTGATACTGATGCCGGTGGTCCTGACACTTATGTAATGACGGCGACGGTGATGCTGATGGTGATGCTGCTGTTCGTGCTGATGATGTACACGATGACGGTAATACTGATGATCCGGACCATGATGCTAAGATGCTACTGATACTGGTGGTGATGATGCAGCTTCATTTGCAGATCATGATGGTGCGGACGATGAAGATGATGATGACGGTACGGAGGCTGTATACTTTGATGCCGACGATGATGATGATGATGATGATGATGATGATGATGATGATGATGATGATGATGATGATGATGATGATGCTTCTGCCGATGCGGATGATGAAGAAGTTGGTGATTATGATGGCGATGTTGGTAATGGAGGTGCTACTGCTGCTGATGCTGATGTTGATTATGCTACCGATGCTGCTGATGCTAGTGGTGGTTATGATGCAGATGCAGCTGGTATTGATGATTCTGGCGTCGGCGATATCGACGATCATGGCGGTGATGCTGGTGGCGGTGATGGGGATACGAGGAGGAGGAGGAGGAGGAGGAGGAGGAGGAGGAGGAGGAGGAGGAAGAAGAGGAGGAGGATGAGGAGGAGGAGGAGGAGTGTCGTCGCGTGGGGCACCTGTTGCCTTCACGTATTCGAGGAGCTCGCATGGAATGCGTTTGGGTTGTTTTGGGGTTGGTTTGCCCTCTGGCGGGCAATTGTGGGGGTCTCCCGGAGCCGTCGTGGACCGTCTTGGGGCCTTCTTCGCCGTGTTGGGAATCTCGTGGGCCGTCTTGAGGGGCCCTCTTGGCAGTATGGTGGGTGTCTGGGGGCTGTCGTGGGGCCTTCTAGGCTCCACCTTGGGGCCGTTGACAGGTCGTCTGAGGCCATTTTGGGTCGCATGTGATGCCGGTTTCGGGCCGTTGTGGTTGCCTCTTCTTCTGGGCCATTTTGGGGAGCCTCTTGGGGCGTCGTTGAGCCATCGTGGATGCGTTTTGGGCCGCCTTGCGCTGACGGGGCATTATTTCATCGAGGATAAAGGAACCCCTAACCCTAATAGCAGAAGGAAAACGTGGCCACTCTTACGTCCCCGTCCGTGCATTAGGGTTGAGCAAACTGGGCGGTTTGGCCTGATACACTTGCAGAACAACAAAAAACACCTTCTCTAATGTCTGTGTCCCCTCTAACTTTGGTCCCCTCCCACAGGGTTACGGTCATTTGTTTGAGAGTCGCCATTCGAAAACCCAATGGACAGCAATGAGTTTGGCTTCGTCGGACCCTGTTGGAGGTTCTTTCGCGGTATCTTGGGCCGCGGCTCGGGACGCGGATCCATAAGTCAGTGTTAGGGTTGTTGTTGTTAAGTTTTCATGATTGAAAAATAACTATGGTTGACCCCCCTTCTGTGACCATTGTGTTTTGTTATATTGGAGTGCTTCCCCCAGGGCTCGCACTCTTTTTACCAGGGAAGGTCACTGGGCTCAAACTGCGCTGTTGGCCCCCGGGTTACAACGACAACAACAACAACAACAACAACAACAACAACAACAACAACAACAACGGCTGCCGCCTGAGACTTCCTCACCATTTAGCCAGGACCACCGCTCCCGCCTGAGACTTCCTCGCATTTTACTCAGGAATCGCGCTCTCGCTTGGCATTTCCGGACAATTCATTCAGGGATCGCTCTCTCGGCGCTCTGGAGTCGCGTTCTTGCGTTGGAAATCCCACCAATTTGCTCAAGCGCCGCGCTTCCGACACTAACGTACCCAGGAGTCGCGCTCACGCTTAGGACTCCCCCACAGCTTGCTTAGGAATCGGGATCTCGCTGCCCTTCGTGGCCCCGTTGCAGCCCTTCGTGGCTCCCTTGCTGCCCTTCGTGGCCCGTATATGTATGCCCTTCGTGGCCCCAGCTCGTTCGCGCCCGTCGTGGCCCCAAATGCATTGTCTTCGTGGCCCCGTTGCCGTCCTTCGTGGCTCCCTCCGTGTCCTTCGTCCTTCGTGGCCCCGTTGCTACCCTCAGTGGCCCTTTCGTTATCCTCTGTGGCCCCGCATTATCTGCCCTTCGTGGCCGCATACGCATGCCCTTCGTGGCCCCGCTGTCGCCATTCGTGGCCCCCTTCCTGCCCGTCGTGGCCCCGCTCTCGCTTTCGCTTGTCGTCGTCTTCGTCGTCGTCGTCGTCGTGGTCGGTTCCCTGTCCGTTCCTCTTGGAGTCGGGTTGACGCCGATCAGCGCTGCCGTTGGCCAGGCAGACGGTCCGCGGCCGCCCCGCCGTTTGCCGGGGCCTGCTTGCAGGGAAGAAAGCTATACCCCCCAAAAGGGGTACGACCGAAGACGAATATGGCGGGTAGTGAGGGTTTGGAAAATACACGTTGGATGACACTCGGGCAGATGAGAGCGAACAGTCTTACAATTACTGTTGTTGTGTTGATGCTGCTGCTGCTGCTGTTGCTGCTGCTGCTGTTGCTGCTGCTGCTGCTGTTGCTGTTTTCGAGGGATCGTGGCCTCGGGAGGGTGGGGGGAAGGGCATGCAGAAGTCCGCGAGCGGAGGGGGGAGGGGCCCCCTTCATTCAAAGACAGTAAAACTGCCAGACAGCACTTGGCACCCCACCGCGCCTCAACGTGCCAGTGGGCACGGTGGCGGATCTCCAACCTGACCGCCGTCAACAGGTTCCTGCAGCGACGCGGCCCTGATTCCACGCAGGTTGTACAGCATGGCCGCTTCACTTTTGTTCACAATTTGTTGCACATGACTGGGGAGCGTATTGCACAGCCGTTCGTTGACGGGGACGTGGTTGCATTGTACAATGGCGAGATCTACAATTCACAGCTTGTGCCAGCGGGGTATCCAGGGAGGCATCGTTACCGTTCGGATGGAGAATGTCTCATACCGTGCTACAACAAACTCGGTTCGAGCTTTCCGAAGGTCCTGGACGGCGAGTTTGCTTTGGTGCTAATCGATTTCTCCAAGAGCATCATTATCATGGCAACCGATGTCTTTTCGACGAAACCGCTGTGGTATTCTCTGCACGAAGGTTTCCACGCTGCCTCCTACCAGTCAGCCCTGCTTGGACTGGGCCTTCCACCCGGATCGGTCAAGATGGCCGACCCCAACCAGGCGTTGAGAGGGTACAGTCAAAGGTAGTCGCAATGACGATTGACCTTGGTAAGGTACCCTTGCACTCTCATCCTCCTGTTCCCCTCTCTTCTCAGATCCCCCTCCTCGTCATGAGAGGGGTTGTACGTGCGGACGTCTTACCAAGGTGCATCGTACCCCTGTGCGCTCCATCGCTGGCGAACCTGACAGCAGTGAAGGATGGCTTCGCATGCATTCGGCATACGTTCTCGCCCCCTCGTGACGGGCAGCTTCCTTTTCCCAGGCGCCCGCAGGCACCTCCCAAGTATTCCCGAGGAGGAGGAGGAGGAGGAGCCCGCTCGGCGTCTGAGTCGACCCAGGCCGCCGAGAGGGCTCGACCCCCGAAAATGCGCGCCCGACGGCCGAGGAGGGCACCTGGCACTGGGCGGTGTCGGCGCCTGCTTTCACGGCGTGTCGCAGCCTCGTGCGTCTCAAGATCGGCGGGTCTGCAGGGTTCGGTACGATCGAATTGGGTACGGTAGGTTCGCGTCGTGTCGACTGGCGGCGACCCCGCCGCGGGCGTTCAAGGTTGAACGCCGCCAGTGGCCCAGAATCGGCCTGCATGGAACGATCGGGCGATCGGAAAGCCGATCGTTCAAGGTTGAACGATCGACGCGGTGTCAGAAACCAACGCCAGGGTCGACACGACACGAACCTGCCGTGCGGAAAGAGTGGGTACGAAGGCCGACGGCACTTTTTGTTCATTTTGAGCAGGACTCACTGTCGGTGTCGCCGCGGACGACGTCCGATCGAGACAGAAGGTCATTTGTTGCTGGGCATCGTACCCAGTTTTTCCGTACCCGTTCCGGGCGTCCAAAAGGGTGTTCTCGATGTTTCTTTGAGCGAGCGCCACTTCTGCCTCTCACCCTCCTCCGAGGTGCTGGTGCTCCAGCTGGAGGGTTCCTCGGCCACGCCCGTCGCGCGGCAAACCCTGCACGAGTTCGATCTGCGGCAGTTCAAGTCGTCCACTGCAGACTGGCAGCGGGCGTTCCGACGGGCGGTGTGGAAGAGGGTCGCGGGCTCCAACCACCCTGCGTTCGTGGGGCTGAGCAGCGGCTACGACTCGGGGGCGCTCCACTTGGCCCTGGAGCTCGAAGCGCCGGCGCACTCGGTCGGCTACTTCACGATCGGCGCCGAGGAGTCGGCCTTCCTGGTGGACGAGCGCATCAAAGCGTTCAATAAATCCGTCTCACGAGCCTGGTGGGTTGAGATGTCTTTGCCGGAATTCCAGGCGGAGAAGGAGTGGTTGATGGAGAACGCCGAGCCCTTCCAGTACGGCAAGAGCAACTGGGCTGGAGAGTACGTGTACGAGGACGGTGCGGCCATCGGCTTGTCGGCCATCTTCAGGCGCTGCCGCCGTGCAGGCATGCTGGTCTACCTCTCTGGCGCCGGGGCCGACGAGATTATCCGGGTGCCTGCGACGAGTCCGCCACCGCGCCAGCGAAGCATTCCGTTTGGCGACCCTTCGATCCCCGACCAGGAGGCCGTCACGCGTGACACCTCGCGTCCCCACATCTCACGGGGGCTGTCCTGGGGCTGTCCTGGGGCTGTCTCGGGGTCCCACGTGGCAGTCTTGGGACCATCTTGGGGCCCAGATGAGCCGTCTCAGGGGTCCTCTTGGCCGTCTTGGGGGTCCCTGGGGGCCGTCGCGGGGCATTATTTGTGCGTTATTGGGCTTTCTGGAGCCGTCTTGGTCCCCTCTAGGGGCCATCTTGGGCCAACGTCCTGAGGGTCCTCTTCGGGCTCTGAGTGGGCCCATTCGGCGTGAGAAGACCCCAAGTGGACCGATCTTCGACCGAATTGCGTGGACAGCGAGACACGGTTGAAACTCCTACTGGGAATCACTCTGTTTGGCCTCCTGAGGGGCCTCCTGGACAGCCTCTCGTCGGTATCTCGGAGCCTGTTGGAGGCCTCGTGGGGCCTACTAGGGCGGTTCTTGGTGGTTTTTCTGTGCGTCTTGATGCTACACGCCGGTCGCTAAAAGTATGTATTTTTGGGTTCTCGGATCCCAATCTACTACAAGCGCCTTCCTACTTCAAGAATCGACACGCTTTTGCTGTGTTTTGTTATTCCCTGGGGGGGGCCTGGACCCAATCAACTTAATCCGCCTTCCTACTTCATGTTTTCACCTACTTCTTCCGACCGACGTGTATCATGGGCCACCATGGTGACCTTCGTGGCCTTCCTTGGCCGTCCTCGAAGCCGTGGAGAGAGCTCTGGAGAGCCCCAGAGGAGGCGGCAGAGCGGCCCCAGGAGCACACTCGGAAGGGCGTGCGGTGCTCACGCGCGAGCGTGCCGAGGGGGGTGGGTGGGACCCGCTGGAAAGACTTACGGCAGCCCTGCCAGACAGCACGGGCGCCCTCGAGGGCGCGAAGTGATTCGCGCTTCGCGGTTCGGCTCCGATTCCTCCTCATCCTCCCCTTCTCCCTTGGGAGGCGGCGCGAGAGCGCGAAGTTATTCGCACTTCGCGCTTCGCGCAGCGCGAAGCGCGAAGTGGCTTACATCAAGCAGTGGCGAAGCGTCCTGGCTCGCCTGTAGCCCTGCCAAACAATGTTCTAAGAACCTCTTGTGGTTTCCACGAGATGTTCTTAGAGGCTCTCTGGTTGATATTGTCTTGTTTATCACATCGGGCTTATGTTCCAAGAACATTGTTTTGTTCTTAGAAGAACATCTTGGGGTTCTAAGAACAGTTTGGAGTACGACTATGGGAATGCCGGGACGGTCGTTCCCTGCTCAATTACAGCAAGCAGCCCTACCAGACAGCATTTGGCATTTTGCCACGCCTCAGCGTGCCAGGGGGGACGATGGTAGATATCAGATTACGGCTTCCGCGGGGAGAAGCTCTTCCCTCACAGCTCGTTCGGTGGGAAGTTTCCGGATGACCTGGCTTCGCTCTTCCCGTGGCAGTCCGTTTTCTTGGGCACGCAGCGGGATTATCTCATGAAAGAGGAAGTGGTAGCCGGCGGACATGGGCTCGAGGCGCGCTACCCTTTTTTGGATCGCTCTGTGGTGCAGGAGTTCCTGTGGCTCTCCGCAGAGGCGAAGAACGAGCTGTACAAGAGGCCAGTCCATGACTTCTTGACGCAGGCGTGCTACCCGTTCGCAGAGGGCAAGAAGGAGGGGTTCGCTGCGAGCCACAACCTGAAGCCGTCTGGGCCCACCCAGATGTCGGTGTCCTTCGATGCCATGGCGGAGCCCTGGGCTGCAGCGCCACCGGCGCCGACGCTCGTCGAGGCCGCAGGCAGCGCAGGTTCCCTCGACGGCGCATGCGAGGGCGATGCCTGGCGCTCTGCGCGGTCGCGGCTGGTGACCTTCCTGCTGATGCCAGAGAGCAAGGCCGCAGCCGTGCAGGGCCTGGCGGCCGCTCTGCTCGACGCGCTGCAGCACGGCCTTCGGGCGGCGCCCGGCTGCGACCTCGGCCAGCTCTGCATGCACCTCTTCTCGGGGGCGGCCAAGAGGGGGGCGATGACTAGGGGTGGGGGGATATCAGGGCGTGGGCCATGATATTCCCTCAGATTTCACGGCGCCTCAGGTCCCTGGCGCCCGCTCCTGGGCCGCGCACTTGCCGCCGGCCATGACTTGCGCCCCTCCCTCCCTCTTGGACGCGCCCCTCTTCGCCGCCCCCGATCTTCCTGCTGCTGCTGTCGCCGCCGGAGGCCCGGGAGGCCCCCCTGCGCGACGGCAGGTGGGCGCCGCTGGCGGCGCTGCCGTGGGTCGCCGCGTCGCGCTCGGGGTGGCCAGTGTTCGCGCTGCTGAGGCGCCTGGCCGCGCAGTCGACGGGGGGGGCCCCCGCGGCCGCGCTGCCGCACGCGGCGGTCGCGCGGCTCAGCTAGAAGGCCACACGCGAACCCTGCCCCGCCACCCTACGATTCTAGGGGAGCGAAAAGTGACATAACACATAACAACTCGGAGGTCCGCGCGGATTTCTCGGATCGGCGCTGGGGCCCCCCGGCGGCGCCTCCGGCGCCGCCCCTGGCGCGCTTCGCGCGCCAGGGAGGGGGGTCCAGCGCCGATCCGACAAATCCGCGCGGACCTCCGAGTTTTAATGTTTTTGTCACTTTTCGGTTCCCTAGATTCCCAGGGTGGGAGGTGGGGTTCGCTTCGCTCGGGCCCTCCCGAGCAAAGCGAACCCCACGGACCCCCTTTAAAGTTGTGGGGTGGTGGGGCGGGGCCCGCCTGTGGCCTCCTATCAGCGGCTGCGGCGGGCACGTGGTCGGGGAGGAGGAGCTCGACGTGCCGCTCGCCGCGCTGGCGGCCAGCGCGAACGCGGCCGCCGCGGCGGCGGCGCAGGGCCCGTTCGCGGAGTTCTGGTCGCGCCGGCCGCTGGGGGAGGTGCTGGCCAGCGCCCGCATGTGCGAGGCGTTTGCCGTGCTGGAAGTCCTCAGCGAGGAGCACTACCGAGTGAACCTCGCAGACGCCTGGCAGCTCCTGGAATTCAAATGATCCTCCTCATCCCGCTGGTGCCCTGCTCTCCCTCCGCCCGTTGTCCTCTTTTTGGGCATCCTGGGATGCCCTCGTCGCTACCGCTGGATTCGCCTTGAACTCCTGGTCAGAACGCACCCTGGTAGACGTCCGGAGAGTAGCGGTATCAGTGCATTTTGGTTGCCCCAGTTTCTCCTGCTGCTGCTCCTCCGTTTCTCGTGCCTGGTGGTTCCTCCCCCTCATCTCTCCTTTCTCATTCTCCCTCCTATTATCCTCCCTTCTCCTTCCTTCCGCCTCCCTCGGCCTCCCTCCTCCTCTTCCTCCTCCTCCTCCTCCTCCTCCTCCTCCTCCTCCTCCTCCTCCTCCTCCTCCTCCCCCCCTCCCTCCTCCTCCTCTTCCCTCAGCCTCCTCCTCCCTCCTCCCCCTTCTCCCTGCTCCTCCTCCTCCTTCTTCTCCCTCAGTCCCTCCTCCATCCCTTTCTTGTCCCGCTCCTGCCCCTGACGCTAATCATCACACTGTTGACTTCTCATTTCTGTATTTATTGTTGGCCCCCCTGCCTGGTGCACATTGCATTTGTACGATCAAGTTGCTCCTCCCCGGGGTCGTGCCCGGTTCTTTTTATCAGGGAAATCTTCCTCCTCAAGCCGCGCTGCTGGGCGCCGAACTCTAACAGCAATGCTCCCCCGCAGTGTACTCCAGAATCGCGCTCTCGCGTGGCACCTCCTCGCAGTGTGCTGCTGCGCCGTGCCCCCCAAACACTCTGGAATCGCGCGCTCGTTGTGGATGTCCTCGCGCTCTGCCTGGGAGTCGCGCTCCCGCTCGGACCCGTCCCTGCGGCTCGTGCAGGACCCGACGCTGCAGCGACCCGCCCGCTCGACCCGGCCGCCGGCGGCCCGCCCGCCAGAGTTGCCCGCGTGCGGGGCCGCCCGCCCGGCTCGCCCGTCTGGTTCGTCCGCTCGTGCTCTCGTCGTCGTCGTCGTCGGAGGAGGAGGAGGGGGAGGAGGAGGAGGAGGAGGAGAAGGAGGAGGAGGAGTGCTCCATCCTTCTCCCTCCCCCATGTCTCTTCCCTCCCTCCCCCTCTGCCTCTGCTTCAAAGGCTGCGCCAGCCACAAGCGGCAGGCAGGGAAGACGTGCCCCCAAGGCGGGCATCGAAGGTTTGGGATGTACGTTTTGAACTGCACGCGAGCAGATAAGAATGAACAGTCCTAAACTGATTGTTGTTGGTGTTGTTGTTGATGGTATTGTTGTTGGTGGTGTTGTTGTTGCTGTTGTTGTTGTGGTGATGGTGGTGGTTGTTGCTGCTGCGGCTGTTGTTATTGTTGATGGTGTTGTTGTTGTCGTTGTTGTTGCTGCTGTTGTTGTTGTCGGTGTTGTTGTTGCTGTTGCTGTTGTTGCTGCTGCTGCTGCTGTTGTTGTTGTTGTTGTTGTTGTTGTTGTTGTTGTCGTTGTTGTTGCTGTTGTCGTTGTTGGTGGTGGTGATGTTGTTGTTGTTGTTGTTGTTGTTGTTGTTGTTGTTGTTGTTGTTGTTGGTGTTGGTGTTGTTGTTGTTGTTGTTGTTGTTGCTGCTGTTGTTGTTGTTGTTGTTGGTGGTGGTGGTGGTGGTGGTGGTGTTGTTGTTGTTGTTGTTGTTGTTGTTGTTGTTGTTGTTGTTGTTGTTGTTGTTCGTAAGGACGTTACCTGGGGGCCCCGGGGGGGGGAGGGAAACAGGAAACGGGAAACGTGGATTCCCTGCGGGGCCCCACGTTTCCCGTTTCCCGTTCGGGTTCGGTGGGGCTCCCTGTGGGGCCAGAGCCACGACCCTCGAGAGGTGTGTGCCGACATGAAGCCTCGGTGGGGCTCCTTGTGGGGCCAGGGCCACGATCCTCGAGAGGGGTGTGCCGAAATGAGGGCTCGGTGGGGCTCCCCGTGGGGCCAGGGCCACGATCCTCGAGAGGGGTGTGCCGAAATGAAGCCTCGGTGGGGCCCCCTGTGGGGCCAGGGCCACGATCCTCGAGAGGGGTGTGCCGAAATGAAGGCTCGGTGGGACTCCCTGTGGGGCCAAGGCAACGATTCTCGAGAGGGGGATGCCTCGGTGGAGCTCCTTGTGTTGCCAGGGCCACGATCTTCGGGAGGGGTATGCCGAAATGAAGCCTCGGTGGGGCTCCCTGTGGGGCGAGAGCCACGATCCTCGAGAGGGGTGTGCCGAAATGAAGCCTCGGTTAGGCTCCCTGTGGGGCCAGGGCCACGATCCTTGAGAGGGGTGTGCCGAAATGATGCCTCGGTGGAGCTCCCTGTGGGGCCATGGCCACGATCGTTGAGAGGGGTGTGCCGAAATGACGAATCGGTGGCGCTTCCTGTTGGGCCAGGGCCACGATCTCCGAGAGGGGTGTGCCGAAATGAAGCCTCGGTGGAGCTCCTTGTGGAGCCAGGGTCACGATCCTCGAGGGAGGGAGGCCTCGGTGGAGCTCCCTGTGGGGCCAGGGCCACGATCCTCGAGAGGGGTGTGCCGAAATGAGGGTTCGGTGGAGCTCCCTGTGGTGGCCAGGGCCACGATCCTCGAGAGATGTATGCAGAACTGAGGCCTTGGTGGGGCTCCCTGTGAGGCCAGGGCCACGATCCTTGAGAGGGGTGTGCCGAAATGAGGGTTCGGTGGAGCTCCCTGTGGTGGCCAGGGCCACGATTCTCGAGAGATGTATGCAGAACTGAGGCCTTGGTGGGGCTCCCTGTGAGGCCAGGGCCGCGATCCTAGAGAGGGGCGTGCCGAAATGAGGCATCGGTGGAGCTCCCTGTTGGGCCAGGGCCACGATCCTCTATATGGGTGTGCCGAAATGAAGCCTCGGTGGGGCTCCCTGTGGGGCCAGGGCCACGATCGTTGAGAGGGGTGTGCCGAAATGAAGCCTCGGTGGGGCTCCTTGTGGGGCCAGGGCCACGATCCTCGAGAGGGGTGTGCCGAAATAACGGCTCGGTGGGACTCCCTGTTTGGCCAGGGCTACGATCCTCGAGAGAGGGGTGTGCCAAAATGAGGCCTCGGTGGAGCTCCTTGTATTGCCAGGGCCACGATCCTTGAGAGAGGGATGCATCGGTGGAGCTCCTTGTGGGGCCAGGGACACGATCCTCGAGAGAGGTGTGCCGAAATGCAGCCTCGGTGGGGCTTCCTGCGGGGCCAGGGCCACGATTCTCGAGAGGGGTGTGCCGAAATGAAGCATCGGTGGGGCTCCCTGTGGTGGCCAGGGCAACGATCCTCTATATGGGTGTGCCGAACTGAAGCCTCGGTGGGGCTCCCTGTGGAGCCAGGGCCACGATCCTCTAGATGGGTGTGCCGAACTGAAGCCTCGGTGGGGCTCCCTGTGCGGCCAGGGCCACGATCCTCGAGAGGGGTGTGCCGAAATGAAGCCTCGGTGGGGCTCCCTGTGTGGCCAGGGCAACGATCCTCGATAGGGGTGTGCCGAAATGAAGCCTCGGTGGGGCTCCCTGTGCGGCCAGGGCAACGATCCCTGAGAGGGGTGTGCCGAAATGATGTCTCGGTGGAGCTCCTGTAGGGCCAGAGCAACGATCCTCGAGAGAGGGAGGCCTCGGTGGAGCTCCTTGTGGGGCCAGGGCCACGATCTTTGAGAGGGGTGTGCCGAAATGAGGGTTCGGTGGAGCTCCCTGTGGAGCCAGGGCCACGATCCTCTAGAGGGGTGTGCCGAAATGAAGGCTCGGTTTGGCTTCCGGTGAGGCCAGGGCCACGATCCTCGAGAGGGGTGTGCCGAAATGAAGCCTCGGTGGGGCTCCCGGTGGGGCCAGGGCCACGATCCTCGAGAGAGGGAGGCCTCCGTGGAGCTCCCTGTGGGGACAGGGCCACGATCTTTGAGAGGGGCGTGCCGAAATGATGGTTCGGTGGAGCTCCCTGTGGGGGCCAGGGCCACGATCCTCGAGAGAGGTGTGCCGAAATGATGCCTCGGTGGGGCTCCCCGTGGGGCCAGGGCCACGATCCTCGAGAGGAGTGTGCCGAAATAAAGCCTCGGTGGGGTTCCCTGTGGGGCCAGGGCCACGATCCTCGAGAGGGGTGTGCCGAAATGAAGCCTCGGTGGGGCCCCCTGTGGGGCCAGGGCCACGATCCTTGAGAAGAGTGTGCCGAAATGAAGCCTCGGTGGGGTTCCCTGTGGGGCCAGGGCCACGATCCTCGAGAGGGGTGTGCCGAAATGAAGCCTCGGTGGGGCTCCCTGTGGGGCCAGGGACACGATCCTCGAGAGAGGTGTGCCGAAATGCAGCCTCGGTGGGGCTTCCTGCGGGGCCAGGGCCACGATTCTCGAGAGGGGTGTGCCGAAATGAAGCATCGGTGGGGCTCCCTGTGGTGGCCAGGGCAACGATCCTCGAGATGGGTGTGCCGAAATGAAGCCTCGGTGGGGCTCCCTGTGCGGCCAGGGCCACGATCCTCGAGAGGGGTGTGCCGAAATGAAGCCTCGGTGGGGCTCCTTGTGGGGCCAGGGCCACGATCCTCGAGAGGGGTGTGCCGAAACGAAGCCTCGGTGGGACTCCCTGTGGGGCCAGGGCAACGATCTCCGAGAGGGGTGTGCCGAAATGAAGCTTCGGTGGGGCTCCCTGCGGGGCCAGGGCCGCGATCCTACAGAGAGGTGTGCCGAAATGAAGCCTCGGTGGGGCTTCCTGCGGGGCCAGGGCCACGATCCTCGAGAGGGGTGTGCCGCAATGAAGCCTCGGTGGAGCTCCCTGCGGGGGCCAGGGCCACGATCCTCGAAAGGGGTGTGCCGAAATGATGGTTCGGTGGAGCTCCTTGTGGGGCCAGGGCAACGATCCTCGAGAGGGGTGTGCCGAAATGAAGCCTCGGTGGAGCTCCTTGTGGGGCCAGGGCCACGATCCTCGAGAGAGGGGCGCCGAAATGATGTTTCGGTGCAGCCCCCTGCGGGGGCCAGGGCCGCGATCCTTGAGAGGGGTGTGCCGAAATGAGGCCTCGGTGGGGCTCCCTGTGGTGCCAGGGCTCCCTGTGTGCCACTCCTACTCCTACTCCTACTCCTACTGCTACTGCTACTGCTACTGCTACT